AAAAAAAAAAAAAAAAAAAAAAAATAATAGCCATTCTGACTGGTGTGAGATGGTATCTCATTGTGGTTTTGATTTGCATTTCTCTAATGATCAGTGTTGTTGAATTTTTTTTCATATGATTTTTGGCCTCATGTATGTCTTCTTTTGAGGAGTGTCTGTTTATGTCCTTTGCTGACTTTTTAATGGGGTTGTTTTTTTCCTTTTTTTTTTTGAGAGAGAGTCTCGCTGTGTCACCTAGGCTGGAGTGCGGTGGCACAATCTTGGTTAACTGCAATCTCCACCTCCTGGATTCAAGCAATTCTCCTGCCTCGGCCTCCCAGGTAGCTGGGATTACAGGCCATCTACTGCCACGCCTGGCTAATTTTTTTGCATTTTTAGTAGAGACAGGGTTTCACCATGTTGACCAGGCTGGTCTGGAACTCTTGACCTCAGGTGATTCACCTGCCTTGACCTCCCAAAGTGCTGGGATTATAGGTGTGAGCCACTGTGCCTGGCCCATTTTTTTTTTCTTTTAAATTTAAGTTCCTTATTGGTGCTGGATAGTAGACCTTCGTCAGATGCCTGGTTTGCAAAAATTTTCTCCCATTCTGTAAGTTTTCTGTTTCCTCTAGTGATAGTTTCTTTTGCTCTGCAGAAGCTCTTAAATTTAATTAGATCCCATATGTCAATTTTTGCTTTCATTGCAATTGCTTTTGGTGTGTTTGTCATGAAATCTTTGCCTGTATTTAGGTCCTGAATGGTATTGCCTAGGTATTTTCCAGGGTTTTTATAGTTTTGTGTTTTACATTTGTGTCTTTAATCCCCTTGAGTTAATTTTTGCATATGGTGTAAGGAAGGGGTCCAGTTTCAATTTTCTGCATTTGGCTAGTCAGTTATCCCAGCACCGTTTATTGAATAGGGAACCCTTTCCCCTTGCTTTTTTTTGTCAGGTTTGTCCATAGTATTTCTTTGTCTTTAATGACATTGACATTTTTAAAGAATACAGTATAGCGTTCTTTTTTCTTTTTAAGTATTATGTTCCTCATTTTGTATTTGTCTGGTGTTTTCTCATGATTAAATTGAAATTGTTATTTTTGGCTAGAGTACTGCATAGGGGCTGTTGTATCATTGGGGAATCACATCTGAAGGCACACAGGTGACATTAATTTTGATCATTCTGTTAAGGAGTTGTCCAGTTGTTGGAGCTGTGAAGACTATGACAGGAAGTATGGACTCGATAAAAAAATTCAGTTTGGAAGGAAACTAGGAACCTATATGGGGGCCTATATGAAGACCCTGAACAATGTCATGGGGCCAATACAAATGAAATATTTTTGTTTTTAATGGTACTTGTGGTTCTAATAGAGCATGGTAAAAAATATTCCCAAGTATCTCTTTTTCTTTTTTTTTAGACTAGTGCAGTAGTGAGGGGGAAAGAGTAGAACAAGGAGTTGGAAACAAGGAGTTTGATCTATAACTGATTGTGAACATTGAGCTGAGATAACTCAACTACCTTTGGACCAGCCCCCAAGTATCTTTTTATTTAATCTGTTGAATTGGGCATGGTGTCATAGAGTAGATTTACAGCCAAACAATTTTTTTTTTTTTTTGAGACAGAGTCTTGCTCTGCCACTCAGGCTGGAGTGTAGTGGCGCGATCTTGGCTCACTGCAACCTCTACCTCCAGGATTCAAACAGTTCTGCCTCAGACTCCCTAGAAGCTGTGACTATAGGCACACACTACCACACCCAACTTTTTTTTCTATTTTTAGTAGAGACAGGGTTTCACCATGTTGGCCAGACTGGTCTCAAACTCCTGACCTTGTGATCCACCCGCCTTAGCTTCCCAAAGTGCTGGGATTACAGGCGTGAGCCACGGCATCCAGCCCAAATCATTTTTTAAATTACTTAAGGCTAATCAAATTAGATACTTTAGGAATAGTTACTATTTTTGAAATCTATAATTTGAAGTTTCTAAAAATAAAACATGTTAAATATTTATTGAACACTTGTTCTAGATAGCATTGTTCTAAAGAGAACTAAATAGACAAAAATCAGTGCGGTCATCAAGCTCATACTCCAGTAGAGAAGACAGATAGTCAAAATAAAAAAAAAATTACAAGAATATAATGTTGGGTAGTAGTAAGTGCTGTGAAGAAAAATAAAGCCAGGTGAGGTGATACAAAAACTGGAATAGGTGCAGGTGCTACTTTCAATAGAGTGGCCTCTTGGGTTACATTTGGGCAGCGAACTGAATGAAGTGAACAAACATGCCATGTGAACACTTGGGCATTCTAAAGAGAAGGTACAGGCGGTGGCTCACGCCTGTAATCCCAGCACTTTGGGAGGCCGAGGCGGGTGGATCACGAGGTCAACAGATCGAGACCATCCCGGTCAACACGGTGAAACCCCGTCTCTACTAAAAATACAAAAAATTAGCTGGGCATGGTGGCGCGTGCCTGTAATCCCAGCTACTCAGGAGGCTGAGGCAGGAGAATTGCCTGATCCCAGGAGGCGGAGGTTGTGGTGAGCCGAGATCGCGCCATTGCACTCCAGCCTGGGTAACAAGAGCGA